AAGCAACCGTCTTGATGCGAAACATGACAACATGTAAGATTCATGCTGCGCCAGCTCCTATCCTGACGTACCGCGCACTGAGAGGAGTCCGACCGGGTTCTGAACACACCACGTGATGATTGCGCGCCTGACTCTGAACATTCAAGAGCTAGCTTCAACGCTTATAAATCGATCGGATGCACGGTGTTCCCACGGATTGTATCAGCATCCAAAATGGATATTGCACATGCCTTTTCATTATCTTTTGCGTACATGATTGTTGTACCGTCGCGTTGCCTCATACTCGCCTAGCTTAACATGACTATGCAATGCCTGTCACTTGCTTAGCAACAAATATCTTGCATTGTGTTCAATCCTCAGTATAGCGCCAATCAAGCGCCAAGCGCTAGCGTCTCATCGTCTCGAAGAATCTCCCGTTCTACCTCGTGCCGTCCTACTCCGAAATGATTGGCTCTGTGTTGACTTGAGCAGGCGTGTGTATGCAGTTGAGTGTTTTCCACGAGTTCCGCTTTGAAGTACTGGACCTCTGGCGCTGGCTGCCGGTTGTCGAATCGACGCTCCTCTTCCGCCTGGCTTCATCCTCTCTTTGCTTCTGTTCAAGTTTCTCCTTCCACCTGCACACAAAGGTGCCAAGCGCGGCGTTAATAAGAATCTTTCTACGACTTGATTAGAAAATAACTTTCAACTCTACTCCAAGGTATTGCAAGTAGGTTCATCTTACTCTGAGACTTGTGTGCCGCTGTGAAACCGCGTGGAGAGCCTGCCTTTTCTGGAAGGCCGTCGACAGACGAAGACTGGAGTTGAATCGGTTTTCACCAACTGAAATGCTTTCAGAATCGACCACCAAAAGCGCTTACATTTGCGCCTCCTCGTAGTCTTTGTTCTTCAACGCAATGAGGTCCTGTCGGAAGCGGCAGTCGGTGGGCAGCGGGTCATCCACGGGCGTCGGCTTGTGCGAGTGCGCCCTCCGAATGTCCCAAACCCTGCGGGTTTAAAAGCGGTTTGAAAACCGTCAGGCGACTCCACGGTATCGGCCTCTAATCTGAGCCAATCCTTTGTGGCAGGCTCTTTGCAGAGAAAAAAGACATTGGCAATCTTTCTTTAGGCACAGTTAGTGTCAAGTCTAAGTTGGGTGGGCAGGAGTGGAGAATATTTGATACCGGTCCTAATCCTGGCCATTGGTTGTTGCGACCTGGACTCAGGGAAATCTTGTTAACCATGGTACATAAGGGCTTGCGCGAGTTCGATTGTCGAGACGTCCACCGTTTTTGCACTTTCTTGCCTCTACCACTTAACAAACATAAATCTCAGGAATGGCAGTTTGGATCCCGTGAAACATGCTCACCTTTCCTTTTCTATGTCCAAGTGCGACAGCCAGACCCCCTCCACCGTTCCAGCTTTTTGCTTCGCTCCGGGGGTGCTCCCCGAAGCCTCGGGCTTGGACTGGAAGATATCCCCCCGCAGCAGGTCGGGGCACGTCTTCCCCTTGAACATGCGCGCGAAGTAGCCCCCCGTTTTCGCGTCTGGGTCGAAGACCAGCTCGCAGCTGCAAAATCTCGCATCTCGAGTTGGTGAAAGAGGCTCGAATTTGCTATAAAGCCGGCGGGCTGGTAAAGAACTTTTCAGTTGATCGCCGCAAGCTTGATACGACCCCGTCCTAACGGGCGACCGTCATAGTCAGACTCCGGCAAGAAAGTCGCTGGTGCGGATGCATCCTTTTACGTTCGCTTTCAGGCATTGATGCGCGATTCTCAGGACCAGCTTTAGGAAATTCATCTGCTTTCACGGTTCGTGCAGATTAACTTGGTACGAAATATGTCCTTGTTCTTTTCATTGTGTTTGACTAAGTAATTTGCAGGTCTATCAGAGACGATTACCTGAGCCCGTTCTTCTTATCCTCAAAATGCATTTCTCCAGTGTACAACAGGGTGCGCTCGCCCCACATGACGTTCTTGAGGTGGATCGCCGGCAGATCCCATGTCACCTGCGGAACGGAATGATTCCGGCTCGATGGGCGAGAGCGGAACGGAGAGGTGCGGACAAAGCAAGATGTACGTAATAGAGTCGCGCGAGCCTGGAGTGGCGGAACAAGCTAGGGCCGTTCAGAAAGCGCGAGAAACGGCATCGACGTTGGACGGAACCAAAATCAAAGAAAGGAAATCCCAAGGCAGACGGAACGGGACGGAGAAAGTCCCTAGCGGAGTAGTGAGACGCGGAACCACGGAAGCGGAAAGCGGCAAGCTAGGGGACTGAAAGTTCGGGGCAATGGAGCATGCTTTGAAACGCGTCAAGACAAAAGAGAACTGAAACGATGCGGGCGGGCGCGTAACATTCTTGTCTGTCTACTCAATTTAGTGCATCAGCCATGCTCGAATTATTCTTAACCACTTTCACTTGGTCGAATCAAACCCCGGTCGATCCAACCGACCGCCCACCTCTGCATCGTCTGCCGTGAAGTGCAACCGGTTCACTCCCTCCTGGTGACCCTTCGCCGTGTTCGCCCTTATGTGGGCAGTCCACGAACCGTCTCCGGTGTAATCAAACCGACCCTGGGAGTCGCGAACCTCCCATCTGCTGATGGGGGGGTGGTGGCTGGTCTGCTCGCAGTACACGGTGATACCCCCCTCGAAGGTCGCCTGTCGAGAGGTTGGGAATCAGACCCTAGGATCGAGACATGGCAGTCTCAAGTAGAGACAAGGACGTATTTGGACTACATTCGATGGATCAAGTTCGCAGATTTCGCAGGCTACTCAACGAGGATTTACACATGGTAACGGAGGGGCTGGCAAGTAAAACGCTGTAGAGAATGTCGTAGTGTCGAGGCACGACAACAACTTGGAGCACATGCAATCAAGTCCAGCTCTTTTATAACAAAGCTGCTGGGTCTAGCGAGCGAGTCAGCCTCAGTTTGAGTTATGTGCATCCTGACCTGATACGTCTCTCCCAGGATGGGGTTGAACGGCTTGCTCTGGCCGGTCTGCTTGCTCAACCCAGACACGACGAACGCGATGATCAGCCTGCAGAGCAGTTTTGGTCTTTAGGGCAACCCATTCAGATTCTCGGAAAGGGTCGTTCTCAGCGTCCGGCAAAACTTCACCAGCGACAGTCGAATTCTGAATGATTCGCCATTCAGACAGAGTCGTCCTTGAGAAACGCAGGCTGACCACGCCTCAAAATACATCTCTGAGTAGGGACGTACATACTTGCTTTCAGAGTTTCCCGATAGAAAAGACCTTCAGATAAACTGTCCTCCTCGGGCTGATTTCCCTTGTACGTCCGCCCTTCAAGCTCCTGGCAGGGTTTCTCTCTTCGTGAACTGACACCCCTAGTTTAGCTTTCCAAGTTCAGATGCAACTCGATTCGGCTCCTTATCTCCATATCGGTGGAACTGTATCGAATCTGTGCATCGACGCTCGCGTCATGTTCGCGTCCGAGGTTGCCTGACTCACTTGAATCTCTCCAGCGGGTCGGTCTGTTCTGCTGCTCTTCGAAGGTAGTCAATATATGCCCAGTTGTCCGCTAACCGCTCCAGAAATGAGCGCGGCTCGAAGACCTTGACCGGAAGCGAGATGGACGTCAGGCTGCTTCCGTCGAAGATCTTGAAGCCGACCTTTTTGAGCCACTCCCATGTGGCCCTGCGAAAGAAAAAAGGGCTGTTAGATTAATGCGAAGACGTTGTCCGCTTCGTTGTCTTGGACTGATGCCTGTTTGATAGCTCTTGAATGTGCTTCATTCCCTGTTTTCGTTGATACTTGTCAGAATGGTATCATCCGTCGAAGGTCTTGTAACCGACTCCTTTCATACCATTCCAAGATTGATGTGGCCCTGGACATAATGTCTGCATCCCAACGAGTGCAAAGTAAAGTGCTCGAAGGAAATCATGTCTGTTTCAGACACACAAGACTCTTCAGGTTATGTCCTCCCCACTCCAAAGTGTTCATCAGAATGCTTTCGGCTGCTTGTCAGTGCTTGATGAGCGGTTTTGCAACGCAACTTGCGATGTCTGGACCCGGCTCAGTCTGTGTTTCTGAGGAAGGTCCTACTCTGGCTGACGTAAACATCCCAAGCTCGTTCAATTTTCAATCTCTTCAATACTCGAACTTCGTATTGAACGATCTCCTGAACAGAAAGTAGTTGCCAGTCGTCTATCCAGAGAATCATTGCCTGATTTCGACAGTTTTCTGCGCTTTCACCAACTAACCTGACCCCTGGGAAAGCAGCTCACTTTCTCTGGAACTTGGTCTCTGCCCGCTCCTCCGGTGAAGTGTAGCGGTACCCGTATGTGTGCGAGTCGTGGCAGCTGCTCTCCTCTTCGTGCCCCATCCCCATTTCTCGCATCGCCTCTTCCAGCCCCTCTGCTGACTCCTCAACAGACCCGCGGGAGATCCGCTCGGTACCCATTGTGTTGCCTGTGAGCCAAAAGTGTCTTCATATGTCGTCATCTGTCGTCATGATCTTTGATGAGGTTGATATGGAAGTAAAAAGGAGCCAGTACTTTTGACATAGAGATTTATGGGACGGAGAGAATGAAACGAAGAAGAGAAAGACAAACATTGAAAAGAAGATTGGTTCCAGCAGACAGAAAGAAGATCCAAGACAAGGATACCTGCTATCATATTGTGAGAGAAGGCCTTAAAGGAGCTGTGGGCAGTCTGTTCACTGGAACCTAATTTCCCCTTTCTTGGTATTGTCACTGAACGGGGAGATTCGTGAGAGCTAGTCAAAGTGATCATTGGATTTGCGTTGCTTGGGCGTGCGCCGAGCAGCTTGGCAGGTTAAGAGTTCTATCAATTAGTTGACAATCGCTCATATCCACTTTCCTTCTACAAGAAGTCTTTGACTGTCAGAAACAGGCTGTGACAACATATTCCAGAGTCTGACATCTGAAGGAAGACATTGAGATCCTCTGAAACAACATGCTGCTTGCAAAGCAGAAGTAGAGAATTGCTTAGAGCTTTTCTTGACCACCTTCTGTTGACTTTGTAAGTCGATCTTCTGTGCCAGTTGCTGAAAATATTCTGAGCGAATGTGCGAATTGTTTCAAGAAACTCAATTGAGCCTACCAGGAACAAAGTCAGTTTTGTCAGCTTTCTCCCTTTCATTGGCAACTGAACGACATGCCATCCACGTCGTTCTACGGTTTATCGATGGGGCTTCAACTTGAAATATAAAAAAAGAGATGAGACCTTTGCTCGTGAAGCCAACAGCATACAAACAAAAGCATCACTTTCACTCAAATGTTTGTTTCGTACCTCGGGAGGGCACGCGGCCCGGTGCAAAAACTGCTGCCAAAGCCTTCCTCAATGCGTTTTTGTAATGCTGACAGCGCACAGCACCTGCCTTTGTCTACCTAGAGGGCATTCGGTGAACGCCGCGCTGTCATCCACCGAAACCTGGTCTTTCAATTCACATGTAGCACTTTGCGCCAGCCTACACAGAGTTCCGCCACACAACCATGCAACTGTCTGACATAGGTCTAATGCTGCAGTGCTTGACTGCTATCACCTGTGCACGGTGTCCACGCATCGCAGCATTGCTGTCAGTGCATTCCTTGCATGGTACATTGGTCTGCTAGCACTAATCAAGTTTTGCCATTATTTCCATGCTTCGGCAAGCCTGAGTGCGGTCGCAGGGGCGCGCCGCGCACTGGCGCATTGCAGCACATTGCAGATCAGAAATCAATCCCTCCGCCCCAGGCTGGAGAGCGCTACAGGCGAATCACTGGGTCAACGCGTTCAATTCTGAATTTTATGGATGATCGTCACTCTCGACCCTCGCGTCAACCAACGGCTAAAAATGTTTCGCGCGCGCATATCAAAGTGATTGTGTAACGTAAGCCCGGACCTCCAGGGCCCGTTACGGCGATCGCACGTCAGTCAGCGTACGCAGTGTAAGTACCTCGTGTACTCGAAATGTGTACTTGGTAAGTGCCGGAATGCAATTGGGCCAGCGCAGTGAGCACGGCATACACGCGGCGCGCCTGAGCGCGCTTAGTGTGAATATGCAGTGGGCTAAGTTCTGCCTTCGCAGTACTACCTAGAAGGATTCCAAGCCTGCTTCGCCTACGAGAGATTTCAGCTTGTTACCTCACGTTGGTAACCACTCATCTGACAGATTGTGTAAGCTAGGCCGTCGACAGATTCTTCAGATTCTTCTGTGAACCCACAGCTTGCATTGTCACGGTGGCTACGGTAACTTCAACTCTAGATCTGGTGGTAGGATCATGTCTGCGTTGACTGCATCTCCAGCGGCAGCATTGCCAGCAATGTGACCGATCCTCAGAAGTTTTTGCAGCCTGGTGTGAATGTTGCAATGGCTCCTATGGATCCTTCAATGCACTGCCTGCAAGTCAAGCTGCAAGTGATGCTACTCTAAGGCACCAATCGGTTGTAGAGCAACAACAATGGTGTCATTTAAAACGAGTTGTCATTGCTGTCCGTGTCGTGTAATGACGGAAGAAAAGACGTAGGCCGCTCATGAGCGAAGTCGTGACAGTCCAAACAAGGTCATTCAGGACGTACGTGCATGAACAGAGCATCCAGCATTGCAGTCTGCAGAGGAAAGACCACTTTCGTCTTAGGGCATTAACAGGCCTCAATACTTGCTGTGTCGCGTAAGTCTGGCCAAAGCTCAGAGTCTGGCAAGCATCAAGTCGAGTCACGAAGCACACAGGATTCATTGAGGGGATTCGATCGAGGGGAAGGCCGGGGCGGACCTAGGCAGAGAGGCTGGACATTTACTTGCGCTGCAAAGATGACGAACAAATACGGACACTTCAGCGAGGAGTACATAACACTAGGAGATGAGAATCACCAGAAGCACGGTACGCTTGCATGCAGACGAGCTTAGGGACGGGCTAAGCCCTATGCAATCAGGGTTATTTTGTCAGAAACTGTAATCATCTTGATAGAACTCAAGCTGCTAGACATTTTCGCTTCAAAAACTGTTAAAATAGCTGCAGAGAAGAAGCTCAAGCTCTCCTGCACTTGGCAGAGCATGATGAAACATGGATGGTTCTTCCTAGACACGAAGGTGACTACCATTGCAAGTCTAATAGGATGTAAAGCCAAGCAAGTCCAAAAGGTCTATAGCGAAAAGGTAGGAAAGAGTTGGGAGTGCCAACTCTGATGTGGCTGACGTTGGGACAGTTGACAGCTGGCACTTGGAATTGTCAATCTCGACTGCGTCTGTGACTGGTAACCTGGCAAGATCAGCACTACAAATTGCTCAATCTCTTGATATGGAAGGGCATTGTGGCTTGTCTCAGCCTTGCCATTGCCCTTGCGAGATGGAGCTCTTCATAACCTCCTCCAAAGCATTTCAGCTCGCAGGCGTTGACTCAAGACACGAATCACGAAAAGCATATCAAATGGAGTGTTGCGGTTCCGTTCTGCAGAGCCAGATCCACGCATCTCAGGCAAGAACTTCTCCACCACAATCACAAGGTCGGGCAAGCTTGCAGATGCGACCTTCGACAAAATCAAACCGCTCTGTGAGGTGAGTCTGACAGTCACTCGCGATCGATCAAAATGGTCGGATCAAACCCGGTCTGCCTTGTTCAGGATCCTGTTCGCCAACTAAAGAATTTCAGCGTTTCAACTGGAAGCGAAGCATCGAGTTTAGTGAGCGCACGTAGCTCATTTCCTGCTGACGCCTTACAGGATAGACGTTAAAGGAACGGCAGTCGCTGGTTGCGTAAGGTTGGCAGCTGCAGCAGGAACCTACCAAGGGCTGTTCGAACGGTTCAACGAACTTTTGAAGAACCTTCAGGTGCTCAACGTAGATCGTCGATGTGCGCTGGTATTCGATCGCACTAGGTACAAAAAGTTGCCTTCTGAAACCGGTGTCCTCTTGAGCACTCATCCCCGGTGGCTGCGAAAATGCTCCGGGAGATTCTCGTCGAGCTACCTCTGCAAGTTGTTGACAAACTTTAACGTCGGCCCTCTCGACAGACGGTCCCATACGAAGACCTGTCCAAGAGCCGACGAGAGCGGCTTGCTGCGTCGCAAAAGCTGAACCTCAGCGAGAAGCCGTTCAAGCGGAATAGCGGGCGCAAAACCGGGTGAGTCGACAACGTGATTTGAAAGGTCTCCAGTGATCGGTCGAACATTACCCAGAACTCAAGCCTTTGCTTCTTTGGGTGCTCACAGTGAAGCATGAAAGCACGATCGTCTTGCGGCTTTGAGTGCGGTCTTTAGTCTCAGCCAGATTAGCTACCTTGAGAGAAACGGATGAGAATCCAAAACTTGGTCAGAACGTGGACAGTGATGGTTTTCAGTTCGAGAGGAGACCAGTGAATCCGTTTTTCATCCTGAAGCTTGACAGATTAAGTCCAACTTTGGGGCGCTTAAGCAGAATCGAGTGTCTTGTCCCTTACAAGCCTTACGCTAAGCATACGACTCAAGATGCGGTCTGCATTATCGTGTAGGGTGGGGACAAGTTCCTGGGATGGATGCTTCGGACCAAAGTTGGCGTACGAACCAGAAGTGAACCCCGATGCAGCACAGGCAAGTGCTTGAACCCCATTCTAAGTCTCCCAAGCCAACGAAAGCAGTGAGACCCGTTCACGTCATGAAGTGAACGTGATTTTTTCGAGCTGATTGAGCAGTCAAATTCTTGGAAAAGCAAGCTGCAATAGAACGGGAAGTGATTTGCACGCCTGTAGCGCGCCTGCTATGGATTGGCAGGACCTGTCTGTTTGAGCTTGTTAGAACATGCTCTTTCACGCGAACATAGTTGCTGCTCTTCGTGTCCCAAACTAACATTACATTTGCTTGCCGGATTCGTATTTCTGCAACCTCTCAGCGCCAAGGCCGTTAAGAAAGCTTCCGATCGGAAGATGAACAGCCGCGAAAGCAAGTAACCCAGATCTCGATCCGTTCCGTTCCGCCTAGCAGCCGACGGTGAAGAAGGGAGCGGGCGCCGTCAAGACGGCCCCCCGGAACTTCTTCACGTCACCGCCCAAGAAGGGAACGTTCGGTTGCATCGGCGTGACTCTGAGCGAGCGTGCCAAAGTGGGGGGGGTGGTCGGGGAATATGCTTATGTACCGAACGAATATGTCGATAGGGGGTCATTGAAAAAGGTGGGGCTCCTTATTTTGTCGCTCATTGGGTTTCAGTTTCCTAAGTTGCCCTTCGTTTCGTGTGCAATTCCCTTAGCCCCGCAGTAAGTGCAGACTTTGTCACCTCCCGCATGACGTTGAATGTCGGCCGTTCTGTCTTTCCATCCCCGATCCAAGTCCTTGTGCGGAGTGAGACCTTTCCCGGTGCAAGAGATTCCTCGAAGGTCGTCTGCGCAGCTCTGCCTTTGTATCCAGATCTCCCAGATTGTGTCGATTGCTTTCGGACTCGTGATCAGGTCTCGTCGTTGACCTGACGTTCCGGCCGGGTTCCGCTGCAGAAGCCCGGCGAAGCGGAAGCACCGGATCTGAAGCCCTTCTACCCGGCCAGGGTGGGCAAGTGGAAGGGTGCCGCGTACCCGAAGTCGGTTATGGGCAACGAATACGAACACATAGGTGAGATGACGTTCATCCCCGTTTGCGCCTCTCGTTTAAGATATCTAATGGGAATCGAGTGAGAGGTTTTGTCAATGTGATTGAGAGGAGGGACAAAGGTTTCCCAGGATTCAATATCGAAGTCAAGAAAGATGATATAAAGCCGAGATAAGAACGACATTTTCTTTGGGGGTTGGGGTGGGTAGGGGTGCGGAGCAGGTATTTTTCTGGCTTAGGATTTGTAGTATCAGTCGGAACTTACCACTTTTTTGGCGTATCGTTTATTTTTCTTCAGTTTTATCACTTCGAGCCGCAGAGTTGGCTGTCCACTACAGCGTTTAATTTTGCGAAGAGGAATCGGAGTAAGAGAGCAACGCGTGGTAGTCCCTGTTCGTAGAGATGACCATCTTAGATTTTCTGAAAAGATAGAAGGCGCTGACATGTACATGTATTCGTCAACTGAATTGGGCTAATTTGCATCTATTTTCTGGCAGAGCTCGGTCCGGCCCCAGTGACGAAAGCAGAGACCGGCCTCGCACCGTTCAAGCCGGCGAAGTCGTCAAAGGTGAATAAGCCCTCAGCTTTTAATCTAACATGGACGAGCAGGCCGCGCCTCTGATTTTCCCCCTCTTGCAACGTAATTAAGGGGGGTTTTCAGATCGACCGGAAGCGTAAGCGCGAGAGCAATTTCCAGGTATCCCATCAGGTGCCCTACGAAGAATCCTTCTGAAGTCGTCGGGAAGACTCCTTCTGCTCTGCTGGGCGTTGTCTTGATTATCATAGTCAATTGGGGTTTCACGACCAAGTTCTGTGACGACCGAAGGAAGGCCTAAAGCGGAGGCTCATACAGTTCCCGACCTGGAATTCCCGTTGCATCCATCAGACCAGCTCAGCGATCAAAGCATGTGCTATTCATGATTATTGAAGCTTGCACAATCGTTTTCGCTCCCAGGACCCGCTGGGAAAGTATCCGGAATACCTTCCCGACCCCGAAACCGAAAAGTGGAACAAGCAGCGCGAAGAAAGGCTGGTGAGATACGCAGACGAGCTTCGAGGATCTTAGCTGTAACAGTCATGGAACCTGTCAACGTTCTCGCACCTTCACCATGTTAGCCTCACAGAATCTGATCGTCGTTTGTTGCGAGATGGTTGGTGTTCCATTTTGGATTGCCCCGCGTACTCGCAACCCCAAAAACCTCCTCCAAACTTGGTTTTGCAGAAGAGTAAGGAACTGATGACGAAGCCGTTCATCCCAAGCCGGGGTCCGAAAACGAAGGCAACTGCCTCCATTCTGCGGATGAATGTTGTAGGGTAGAATAGGTTGTCAATGTTTAACGCGAGTGCAAACGCCTGCGACTAGCGAGTAAAACTGCAAGCACTGCAATTTTCAGCGCGCGTCCATTCAAACGAGTCGTTGCAAAGAAGGAGCGGTTATCTAATATGCGGTTCGAAGATCCTCTACGTAAGCCTCCAAGATCAAGTCCTTCCACTCGAAGCTAGCACCTTGAGATAAAGAAAGTCCTTTCCAGTAGGGCGCGGAGATTGACAACAATCACATGAGTAACGCTCCTGTTTTGTGCCGTCATGCTGCAAATAGTACCGGAGCTAGTGGCAACGAAGCTTTGGCAAAGAGGGACGCCAGCAGCACCAGTCCTCGTCGTTAAATCTCTCCTGAATCATATGATCCTTAAATACTAAGTAAGGATCGACAGCTATCCGTAATCGCATTTGTAGCTTTTCAAATGATACTCTTGCAGCTGTAACGTAGTACGGCCCTGACATCATGGATTGTTAGAATTGTCAAAGCCTTGCATCTATTCGCCGACACTTGTTGATTCCGCAAGCACATTCATTGGTCATTAAAAGTCGAGAGATTTCAACTGCAGCAAACATCCTCGTCTTATTGAGACTCGGCATCCCAATGCTGGGCTTATTGGGCAGCTTAGACAGCCAGCATTAAAGCATTAAGGTTGTTGCCGAGCACCTTGAACCCCCCTTGAACCGTCCCTTCGAGTGTGCTCGAGTGCGAGCTACTACGAAGTCTCCCTAACAGGATAATACAAGAACGCCCGTACAACGTCTTTTCGGAAGCTGAATGATTCGAACGACCCTTCGAGTTAGACAGACGAATGGAGCTCTGTCAGATCAATTTGCTGCTATAATAAAAGTTAGACCCTTCACCGACAATTTCCAATGAATTCGATTCACGGGAAGCGGAGGAGGTTTTCAAAGTTAACAAGCCAACTAGATGCTTTCCGGATGGGTAGAGTGTGGGCGCTTACCTAAAGAGATCAATCAACCAGCAGAATAGGCACCAGTACCTGTTAGACAGCTCTGACCGTGCGCGCGCGTTGCGCGCCCGCGCGCATGTCCAGAAAAACTAGAATGTCCTCCCCCTTGGAAAATTTTCGATGAAGGGTTGAGTATAGGGTTAAGGATTTCTTGTTCTCGCAGCAGGGAATCTGCTGGGGTTACTCGGGGGGTTAGTCGCTCAAGTCTCGATCTCGGTCAACGCGGTCAACCCCGTAAGGGTTTCGACCAATAGGATCACGAAGAAAAATGCCTTACCATTTTGGAACATGTACGTCAATAAGGGAGGCAACCAAGCAGGCGAGCCAGACCTCTTCTAATTATCCGATTCTGCATGCAGGACAAAGCGCACGGTGTGCCATTATTTATATACCGGGCTGACATCAAGGGCGCAACACATCCTTCTTTATCGCTCGGGACTGGGCTAACCGGGGTGTCACAAATCGAGACGGGCAGTAGAAACGGGCTCTTGGCTTTTGTGCGCAGCAGGGGCGGCAGCGGTTCAATTCAGGACAGAGCAGATTGGCTGGCGCTTAGGACCTACAGCTTTTGGCTCTGCTCCAAAGCGCCCAGCTCCATACTGATTCGGCTTCCAAATCTCTTTGGTCGTCCTACTTGAAGGAATCAGTGAAGCAGCCGTGCCCCTCCTTCGCAGACTTCTTCAAGGCGCCAGCATTTGAGTTGATCAGGGCCACCGGTTACTGTGTAGGATGGGACCAGCATGAACTCCAATGTAGGACAGAGCTCTGGGTTGGCTCGGCATGAACCAGAGCTGAAAAGCTTGTCTCAAGCAAGCAGCAGTGGGTGTGGACCGGGGTTGAATCTGCGGTACCGCTTGATTTGTGGAGTCAACAGAGCGCAGGTTCAAGACTGGCTGGTCGAGCTTCAGAGAGAACAAGCTCAGGAGCCACATTGCCTCCCTCCAGCAGAAAACGATGTGAGGGAGTATGCAGGGTAGCGACAGTCGGCGACCCTTCAATTTTGCAACATTCTGAGCTGGGGAATCAGGAGAGAAACCTCCAAAACAGCCGAGTACAACCTGACAGCTCGAAGCACCTGAAGCAATGATAAGACTTCAAGCAAGATGCAGTAGGCTGCCCTTGGGTCCCATGTAGGCAGCGGCAGCGGCAGCGGCCGGCGTAACAGGTCCACTGAGAGCGAAGTTGGCTCAGATACCATATGAACACTCACACAGGGCGCTCGTTGAACAATGCCAGACTTCACTGGTGCGCTAGCCACAGTCCTGATCTTGAGCTTCATAATCCAGGCATTCCGGGTTTGGGCCAACGAAGGGCACAGGAGAGTTCTCATCTTGGACCTGAAGAACAGTCCGGAGCTGGAGGAAGAAACGGTCCGGATGCGGAGCGAGATGGATGCGGCGAGGCGCGAGACAAGGCGTCTGAGATCGGAGTAGCGGTGAGAATCGAGGGTCTCAATGTCAAGCGCAGTGGGGTTATGTTCACTCTGATTAATCGTCCATAAGTGCAAAGGATTGTTATTTGCAAAGGATTCTTATTGCCTGAGATGTATTCTCATGTGAAGAATTTTGTTATGTGTGGCTTATGTGCCACGTTAAAGAGAGAATCTATCTTCAATGTGTTGTGGTTCATCTCCTTTTACTATGTGATAAACATGTCTGAAATCAGCTGACCGCTCGCTAAGCCTCTGATAGTCTGTAATCAAGCTGAAGTACATAAGTGGGAACATTATTCGTAAGTCCAAGCAGCTGTTTTGTTTTCAGACCTCCATTTCGTCCTGAATCTTGTTATTTGAGCCCTCTGCTTTGTGCTGGACTGAGTCATCTGCTGCTTCCTTGTGCAGGCCATGAATTGAAGTATTGCATAGCGTATAGCATCTGATTGTGCGCCGGAGGGGCCAGCAGGATATCCTTTGCTTACCATCAGTGTAGAGTATGTATAAAGAGCAAATGGATAATCCGGTAGCAACCAATTTGATGTCAAATGTATTGTAAGCGCCAGCGATGTTTCAAAGGGGTCTTTCATGGCATTGGCCTTTTGCCCCTGACAAGTCTATCTAGCCAAGTGAAGCGGGCGGAGTACCCGGTAGTGGTAAAGATGATATAATTGAGCGTAAGATCTAGTAACCTGTAGTCACGTGCATCTGCACGCATCCGTTGGTGGAAAGTACAGAAGTGATAGAGCCAGGCAGAGCTTGACTTTATAGCGAAGCTTTCTTAGGCTTGTTTGTATCCATTGGGGGGTCGCTTGATCCAGCTCGACCCAGACAAGGCAATCAAATAATAACAGTCAACAGATACATGGAAAAGTTGCGCTTTTCAGACGATAATGCCGGCCAGTATTATGCAACTGTTATATTGAGCTTTCAGACCAAGGAATAGAACTGCGGCCATTTGTACGGTATACTTGCATAGATGGTCATCGATTGTACGGTACCCGCACAGATGGACATCGAATATGCTCTCAAACTGTATCAGCTCATGAGATCGTCCAATAGATCAGACCTGGCATGTGCGCATGCACGTGCGGCTAGTCAGGTTGCCAGCCATGCGCTTGTATGTGACGGGATCGCCCGGGCTTGGTATGTATGGGATGATCTTCATGCGTCCGCATGCCAATACATGGAGGCAAGCTCTAGCAACTAATTTTGAAGGTCGATTGCAGATCCCATGCATGATTCGATCTCAGGTATAGATCTAAATTAGCCGGTCGACATGATACTCGTCTTTGTCTTTTTGAGTTCCTCTCATGATTAACCTGCCTAGCTAGTCATTGGAAATCTTGCGAGACCCGTTGTCAATCATTGCACATTTCATGGTGCTCTCCGCGAACTTCTTCATGCAGTCCACGTCAACCCAACTGCAGTCTCGCCAGAACGTGCCCTGTCTTTCGCATGCTTCACGTGAGTAGTTGGTCTGAGCTTCCAAGTCCACCGCTCCAATGATTCAGACTTGCGTAATTTTCAGAACGGAACCGTAAACTGCCAAAACAATCATCGACCCGTACACCATATGTAGTAACGACCCTTATTTCATCGACAACAATTGTTGAGACAGGCTAATGAAATGAATTTAGTCTGGACTGATTTGCCAACCAATTTAGGCGTTCCAAACACGGACATACTCTACTCTGCATTATCAATATTTCGTTGTTCAACAAGTGGGCCGCAAGCCAACCGTTGTCCGACCATTGCCATTTGTTCGAAGCACACCATCATGCACTTGCGTTGCGCATGGCTTTCATAACTTCACGGACTGTCGAAAAGCATTCTCGACTTGTGTTGAAACGACACTCGTCTCCCTTTAGCAAACGAACCTGCGATTCATAACGCATACCAAACACGGACACCTTGCTTCTAAGCACCTTCGACGTAGTTCCCCAAGTCGCTTTTACAGCTCCCACCTCCTCAACGCACGTTCTTCAATAAGGCCGCTCTCTCCGATCTCGCCGCTCATCCCTCCCCCCCCTCTCAACACGACTCCGCGGACTGCTCTCTCGTACCCCCCTTTCAACTCGATATCTATCCTCATGCCCTCGATCGCTAGAATACCCCCTATCCCGTGGCGGGGGCGACCTTCCCCTGGACGCAAACGGGGGCCCCCGAGAAAGCCCCACAGGGGGGGGTAAAGAGCCCATCAGATAAGGGGGGGGTGCGCCGAAACCACGTCCGACGCCCGCGGGCATGACGAGGAAGGGTCGGACGGGGGGGATCCCCCGTCCGAGAAGGGGGGCGGGGCCCGGGAAAGGTCGCGGCCGGTCGCACTTGTGGCAGGTCGTGCGACGGGCAAAGTTGAGATTGCCGCAGCTGGCAACAAGCGGGGGGAGAAGTCAGCAACTGAGAAAGGGTTGTCATGATCAGAAAATAGATATGATGTAGGTACGAGTCTGGCTATCCGGAGCCAGACGACAGTATCAGCGCCTTTGCGAACAGAGACGCTGAAAGAAAGGGGGGTAAATTTGTAAACGGGTGAAAGGGTTTCATGAAGGGCGATACGGGCGCTTTCCGCATGGAATCAACCGAGTGGGTGGAAGTGGGAACGGTCCAACCACAAAACAGAGGGGATCTTTAGCCACAGCATGTGACAAGACCCACTGATGGAAGCCTTTCGACGAGGCGCAAACGTCTTCAATGGTCCTTGGTTCTTGATGAAAGCCTCATCGTAATATCGTTTTAGAAAGAAGATCAAAGTTTGCATGCGCACTTTGAGAAGTAATCAGACACGGACCACGAAGACGGGAAGTTGTCGACCGAGTCCCTTCCTTCTGAAACGGTCTTCTGAGTTCGTGAATCAAGACTGCATTAGACGCCTCTCCAGAAAATCTCCCGCAATAAGTCTTGAATGGAGCGAGGGGATCGGGGCAGAAGACCGGGAAACAAAAAATCGTTTCAACTCAACGAAAAATGAGCCGAACAAACTAACACTCGGCCTGGCTAAAAATCTACTTACAATATTGATGCGCTCACCACGCGTACGCGCACCCACCCTAACCCCCTTCATAATCCCACCCATCCCTGTTCTCTCTTCGTGTTCTTCCTCAAGCTTTCTGTCCACTCTATCGTACGACAAACCAAAGGGCGCTACTCACTCGGGGCTGGCGCAGATCCAGTCCCCTTCCCTCGGCGCAACGTTGGGAATGCTGTTCGGTCGGATGGGGCGGTCCGCAGCAAATGGGGGTGCCCTGTCGCGAGGCAGAGGAGCGTCTCTGTATCTCCGAGGGGCTGCATAAAGAAACTCCTCGCGTTACTCTACGGAACTGTTTATGATTTACACGGAAGCGTGGCCTTTTGTAACGGCTAGTTAGTCTTTCGATTTGATGTACCCGTGTTTTTTGCTCCGGAGTTGTTCATAGCAGAGAAGGCACAAGCTGGAGTCAGTAGCACAAGTATACCCATGACTCAAGAAAGACAGCTTACACTCGAACCCGAACATTCAAGCTCAACCGGATAGCATGCGGCGAGGACCAAGCGGAGTTCACTTTTGTGTCGAATGAGAGCTAAAAATCTCCCTCCTAAAAGATACGGCCCAGCTGTAGACATTACAAAGCCTACCACCGGCCAAAGAGGCCAGGGAATCTCCAGATCCAATTGGTTCAAGAGTTCGTCCGCCGTCGTGGCCTATATCAAGTCTCCTTTCTTTTGAGGTACAAGCTGATGTATGTCCACAGCAGCAACGGTTATACGAAAGCCAGCGAACATCAATTCCAACGCACTTTGCAAGCGGCTAGCAAAGTCTCTCTTGATTGAACGACCGACAGAAATGAGGTCCCATCTCTGGAGGGTGGCATATGCTCCCCCTCAATTGCGTACCTGACAAGCGTGGCCAGCCCTCTACCCACGTCAAACACATAATATTCGAATTCGAGATAGAATAGGGATAAGATTACACTCACCAGGGGCTGGCGGCGACCTGCCCCGAGCAGCGGGTGTCATACGGTCCCCTTCAACTGCCGAAACAAGCTTGGCCAGCCCTCTACGTAAATCAAACAAACAAGGGTTCGAGCTGACGGAACTCGTGAAAAGATACTCACCAGGGGCTGGCGGCGACCTGCCCCGAGCGGCAGGGGGAGGTGGCGAATCCCAAGCGGGGACTGGGGGAGGAAGATACGGCTCTCCTCGTTGTGACGGCCGTCGTGGACTTGACGCCGGCCGCGAAACCCGGATTTTGCGGCCCAAGAGCTCGTAGCCTGTGGAAACGGGAGTCAAGCTCCTTGGCAAAGCTTTAATTTTGCGGTCTAGCTATCGTTCGATGTAGATGTACGACGTGCGGAAGTTCCTCATTCCCCAACTTAGAGCAAGTTCGATGTTGAATTCGCTTAGAAATGCCAACTGTTTGCGGTGCCGATAAAAACATACTGGGATGATCAAGTACTAGATTGAAGAGCAGAGCACATGGCTGCATAGATGAAAAGGACTGTGTGGCGCCATGCGGCAACTCCCGTTCTCTGTGCAAGCTGACGCCAAACAGGCAACAGCTGTAAACGGATTTGAAACGGATTTGAAACTTTCGTGATGATAAGCTTTCTCTACACACTTCTTCCTGGCAACTATGTGGGTCCGAAAGAACAACGTTTGATATGAAAAAGTTCAGCAGTTAAAAAGAAGAAACAGCACGTACCATCAAACCATCGGACGACGCCTTCAGCCTCCCGGACGCTGTCCAGAATGACCTCAGCCTCCATCCCCCCCGATGCATCGCTCTGGAAGATGCGCACGAGAGGCGCGCCCGACTTGCCAGTCTGCAAGCAGAGAAACTCTTTGATGACGCCAGATAATGCTGGGGGAAGAAGGTTCCAATAGAGAAACCCTGATACAGGCTCTTTCATTGCTTTACCCCAGAGTTGGGTCACAGAACTCACTGCTTTTTGAAAGGTCTGTGACAGACCCTTGATCTTTGACTGACTTCTAAAATTTCCGTGCGAACAATAGATACACAACGAGCTGGCAGTGCACTTCCCGGAGTGCACTTCCCCGGACAAGATTGGACTTCTAAAACGAAACGGAGACAAGCAGAACCTTGATCATTGACTACACTGCTTCTGGCAAGCATGGTTTTGAGTGGGTGTGGCAGTGGCTCACCTTTATTTTACCCACTTCTCCTATTCTTTCAATGATGTCACGGACGGTGATGTCATCTGGTAAGTTTGAAATCAGCACAGTATCATCGTCTCCCAGGGGACCTGCATTCAGGATTGGGCCAGATTGAGCACAAGGCATGGTCTTCAGCCAGATACTCCTCCGCATGTGATCTTTGGTCTTGTATCTTTGATAATATTGCAACTCCCGATGAGCTACCCCAGACATACAAACCATCTGAAAGATTACAAAGCTGCTGCCTTTCCGCATAACCCTAAGCCGGCAAGAGTGCATACAGAATCCTGTTGTTCATAGACACCGGGGCCCCACTTGGAAGCTCTCAAACAACTTTTTGACGGGATTACCCAACTGCCAAAAAAACAAAGTTGCCCCAGGGCTTGTTTGCCTGCTCCTGCTTCATAGCTGAGTTAGATAGGGCCCAAAGCAAAGAGTTACAGCCCCCCAATAGCAGTCAGAGTGCAGATTACTGCTGGGCTTTTGATCCAATCGAGCGACGGTAAGCTCAGGGAGAGTTGCTGCTTTTTGGTCGTCTACTGCTGGGCTTCTGGTCCAATTGAGCAACGGTAAACTCGAAATCAATCACATCTTTTCTGGATGGGCAATCAGATTCTCTTCAACTTGTTGATTTGCAGCAGAACCTACGATTGAAAGAATACTCCTCCTTGTTTTGCAAAACTAATCGACCAACCTCGAAATCACGTCTCCTGAGCAACCAACATGTGAGAGTGCAAACATTCAACATTCAACATTGCATTGACGAAAGATCAAAATAATGCCGTCGCAAAGCTGAAAGAAAAGCGGAGGTGAACCAAACAAAAGCGAATGAGAGCCGCGCCCACCAATGCTCCGACTCTCTTCCCTAGGCGCTGCGTGTCTGCTGTACCCCTCCCTTTTCTCAGGACCTTCTCCCTCCCACCTGTCCCCCCCCTCTCTTGCATCCTTATAGACCTGAGTCGATCCGTACGTCCGTCCATTAGGAGGAGCGGGAAGCTGCCGACCATCGTAATCCTCAACTATTCTTCTGGGGGGGCTCCTGGACCTGTACCTGGACACTCCTCGAGGGCTGTCCGGGCGCCTATCGCGGTTATCCACAGTCACCACCTTGGATTGCAGACGCCCTTCTCTGTGCCCGTAGCCACTCATCGCTCTCCTTAAATTGCAGCAGCCTCGAACCTCGCCTATTGACCACCTAACCCTTCATATGCTTCCAAGGTGCCGCCATATCAATGTCTGTTGGGGCCAGTACCGGGCTCCAACGGCTTTACCCGCCACAAGGGCGCCCCTGATGAAGATGCGAAATTGCAAGCATTGAACGACTTCCTTCTGAACCGGGCCCAAGCCTAAGGCCCTGAATGCCTCAGCCTCAGGCTCTAGCCTCTAGCCAGGCTAGGCTAGGTATAGAGGCGCCTACACACTTAGTGCTCGCGCTAAATTGAGGCCTGGCAGAACGAGTACCGTCTTCTTGTCCCGTGAGTGTGAAACCGCGCGTTCACTGTACCTATAAGACTGAGTGTCGGCCCTAATTCCGGAATTTCATAATTCCGGACGGATAAAGCAAAAACCCTATTTCGGACCTGATAAAGCAGTCTACCGAGCACCAGTGTCAATTCCGGATGGTTCGAACGCTATTTCGGACACCATGTGTCGACTGACTCTGAATCTGCAATCTGTTACAGAATCTGTCCGGAATAAGATTTTCGCTTTACCCGTCGGAATTGCAAAATTCCGGAATATTAGGGCCGATACTCTAATACGTAGGCCTGCGCAGGTACGGCTGTACTTGGTAAGGAGTGGGTTTCACACAAAGCCCCAGCAGCTGCCGGTAAATGGCAAGCTGCTCAATTTGAAAATTTGAAATCCTGCCAGTGCAAGGAGCCTGAGTACTCGGGAGATCAACGCACTTCTCTAGAGCTAGCCGTTCGAAGCTTGGCTTTTGCAGTGGCAGCACTCTGCGTTTCCTCCCTCGTCTGCTCCATCAGTCTTCAAAATTCAGTGTTAATCAGGTCGAAGGCTCCATGTGACTCCTCCTTTCAGCTCTGGAGGTGCTAGGTGGACGCTTGCTAGCAGTCAGCGTCAGCTTCCTCAGTTTGCGCTGCTGAGTATTCTTCCCTGTTGAGACGCTGGAAGTCCGTCTGGTTTTGCGGCACGTTCTTTTTGGGGCTTTTGAGTTTGAGAGCACTGCGCCTCAGAGGAACTCCCGCTTCTCTCTAGTCAGGAGACCCTATTTCGCCGGCCGCTTCACGAATGGCAATGCGCATCAGGATACCACATACTGCTCGTATAGCCTCCAGTCACATATAGGCCCTGCTTTTGGGAGCTTTTGTGAGGCAGCAAAAAGACCACTTGCAGATAGCGTCAATCACATGTGATTGGTAGCTGTCCTTTTGATAGATTCCAGCCACACGACAGAGGATGGCAACAGGGGATGTGCAGGGCAATGTCGACCGTCTCCGTCTGGAACTACGATCTGTTCGCTACAATGAAGAAATAGACGTGCAAGGGTGAGACGCTTGGAGTCTGCTGAGTTGGTTACAGAACGACAGGGCCACTGGGTGTGGTTGGGCCCCTCTGGCAAACTCATTATACTGGAGATGGGTGTTTTTCGGGCCCTGCGATGAAATGAATGGACTTGAAATCCATAGCGGTCTGCCTTATTTGCTTTTCCCAGAAGCAAGCTCTGCACAGTGGATTTTGGAGATGGCCACATTGCTCTGACACATGCAGGACATGTGTCTAATCATGTCCTCCTTTTTTGAAACAACGACACTCATTGTAGATAAACACAATTTACATTCGTTGAGGGAATCTTGCTTCTACAAAGTCCACTTGACATACCAGCTATTGTAGGCTCTGTTGCATGTACGCATCTTTATGGCGTCAGGGCAGGAATCCACTAAAGCTGTTCGGTGTTTACAATGCCAGGAGTTCTGGGGAGTTGAGGACGTTTTGGCCAAAGTGCTGGATGATAAAGAATCCTCGTCTGATGCAGGCTACGAGACGGGAATCCAGCTGCCTTTCTTCCCCTGCTCCACTATTGCTTCCTGGGGTACTCAAGACTGCTTGCAAGGCACCTGTCTGGTCTCGGCCATGAGCTCTATGCCAAGAGTGATCTGGTAAGCTCCTTGTGAAAAGACTGCCCCTCTTGTTCGTATCGAGCCAATGGCCATTTCCAAAAGAAGCACCACTTCCAATGTTAACAGTGGACGTTGCCTTTCAGTATCCGTACCTCTTACCACTGATCATGCATCCTGCCATTGCTCATTGTGGTACACCCGTTCTGTCACGCACAAAGTCGACAAGGGGACTGAATGTTCTTCGACGTACCTGTTATACATCCATTGTGTCAAGCATCAAGTGTCGAGGGAACTTATTTGACTTGGATGAACTTCTGCAGCGTTTTGTAGAAAGCGTTTTCAAGATTCTGCGGGACGAGTTTGCTTACCGCTCCACCCTCACTATCGCTCAGGTAAGAGGTCCACGGACACAGCCAGGTGTTACAGGGGGTACTAACAAATGATTCTAACGCGACCTTGAGGTATACCAGGAGCCTGATAAAGCCACAACCAGGAGGGCTTACCCTCCAAAGTTGAGGCTTGTTCTGCAATCATGGTGTCTTTCTCATCTTTTTGGATTACCGCTCTGTCCTTGTACAGAACTATGCTAGGCTTCAAATAGTTGCAAGGGTAATTCAGGTGTAATTGTGAACCTGCCGAATGAAGAGGAGGACAAAGGCGGCTGATGTTTCCTCTGTGTCTGTGTTGTGTACAGTTTCTGTCAAGAGGCTTCGCTGAAAGAAAGCTCATTCTGTTGTACGACATTGTCCAGGTGAGGGGGAGCCCATGATTTGCCTGTATTGATAAGCTTCATTGCATGATAGAAATGATATCTGAGCATGCGAAAGCAAGCTTTAGAAACTGCCGACCAGCGCTGACAAAAAACTCGATCCAGCCAAGTGAAGAACAGAAGACTGCTTCTTGTGCAGGCTATGATTTTGTGGAAGCTTGCATAAGAAACTGAGACTGATGTCATTGGTTGCATAGCTCCTTCATTGACTCGATGTCTTGGTCATCTCTGAATGCAGTTCTGCAAAAGGAAGCACAACGAGCTGTGGAAGGAAAGCCAACCAGCCAAGGTGCTCAAGGTAAAACTTCGAACCATGTATGCCTGGTAGTTGCCCTAAAGTGCTTGTCAGGAACTCTCTTAAAGTATGTTGCTAGCCCAGTCATGCAGCTGCCTTCAGGCTAAGCCAAGTAGGGAAACTGCAGTCGTCACCACTGGCCTCAAGAGTGTCTGTGCATGCTGCTAGATTAAACTGGACTTCGGACTTTGAGCAACTTTGCATCGCCTTCCGGCTGTTTGACAGCTTGGCAGTCCCTCGGCCCAGTCTGACGCCCAACCTACCTGACTCGCAGGTTCACAAGACTCCTCCTGCCGAGGAGCGTGAGGCTAACGTGAGAGTGGTCCGAGAAACCCCCCCTGCACCAGTGAGTGTGACGACCTGCTTCTGTGATCGCAATCTATTTCATCGTTAGACATTCTGACACAAGATCCCGACATTGCTGAGCGTAATGTTGGTCGCTTGCTTCTTTGGGAAGTCCTTATCACGAAAGTCAGCAGGATTTTGCGTGAGGACCACCGAACAACCGTTGCGTGCTCCTTTCGCTGGTGCCGAGTACGAACTGCTGCTTACCGTCTCCCTCAAACTGTGTCGCCAGCCTGCTTCGACATCAAACCAAGCAACGTCTTCGGGCCGAGATGCAACCGCCAGGAATGGAACCTCCGAGCCAGGCGCAGACATTGGGACTACAAGCAAGGTAGACACTGTCGGTGAAAGCAGCTGCCTGCATTCCTCGTAGTCTTGACCTTCTGCTCATCCGTAACAGAAATGATGCTGGCAGGATTCTTTCAGAGACTGCCTGGCTTCGCTGTGCGTTTCCCCTAGCTATCCTCCAAACGTCGCTGCAACTTCGATCCCGTCTGTATGGCACAGAAACGTATGAGGTTGTTTGAAGCTCTCCGGCCGAAATGCCTGCAGCCAGAACGAGCCTACAAAGTCGACAGCCGAGAGACAGCAGCCTACCCTTTCCTCTACGATCACCGGGTCAGGTCCAGGTTATGCCCAAAGTCAAGTCAATTGCTGGAATCGAACCAGAGGCGCTTTCCCTTGTTTCAGGTCGCAGCTCTCGCCGCCCGCTTCCGGAGCCCCACCGAGCCACCCCCCCTCCCTCAGGCGCTCCAAAAGCAGCGGCGAAGAGTCTCACACCCAACTAATAATCCACCCCCCGCCGTCGCCTCCTCTAGCCGGCCCCACAACCCCATGCTAAGGCCGCAAACCGCCACTCCCTCCGATCACCGACCGATGCCTCAGGCCGCGAGCGCAAGACCGCAGACCTCCTTTGCTGACGTCAACCGGGTTCAGATTGATGCATCCAGCCGGCCCATGAGCGAGATCCTGCGCCATTCCGGGGGGGTCGCCAGCGGGGCCGATCGGCCCCCCCTCCCAGAGGACGACCGAACTAGAGCGGAGAGGATAGCGGAGAGCGGAGGTCCGTCCGAGCGGAGGGTTCAGTGGGCGGACCGCGAGAATTCTTTGGTTGACAATTTGGACGCAAATGACTTTAGCGACGGGGATGCGGACAGGAAAGAGATGAGCGGAGTGGAGCCGGAGCAGCTGCTCGCGGCTCTGCAGAGGCAGCTGGACGCGTCCGGAAACCTGGTCGATGCTGGGCGTCGATTCGGGCAGGTGGGCTTTACGACTCGCTGAAACAAGGTCGGAACGTATTGTTTGCATTCAAGCACGGATTGCTCAGCAGCTGCAAACGAACTCTAATCTCGAACTTCTTCTAGAAGCGCCGGTTGGCTCTGATCGCCGACTCTCCTTTCGACCCTGTTCGATTCGTTACGGGAGTATAATATGAGCCAATATCAAAAGCTCGCGTTTGATGTGGTCAATGCGTATGCCACTGCAGGACGACGTCGGCAGGGCAAGCTTCTCGTCCGACGAGGATGGGCCGCTCTCGTCCAGGCGTTTGCAAGAGTTCGCCGCAAAGAACGAAGAGCAGGTTGAGGAACTGGTGAGAACTTCGGCGATGCACGGCTCTCTTTGATTGCCCCTGAATGTGCGGGACGAGTATGTACGTCTAATCTGCGGTGGATATGTGTTCGTCGATAACCACAGTTACCGCTTCTGTTGAGAAGGTATCGCCCCTGAACGTGCCGGAGGAGTATGTTGTCTGTTCTGCGCTGGAAAGCGTTTGTCAATGATCTCGGATACTATCTGTGTTGAGATGGATGTCCAGCGCAGGTTGCTTGTTGGAAAGCCGTCGAAACAGACTAAAAATACACATCAGTTCTCTTGGCAAGCCAATTGCTTATTTCACTTTTAAGGTTTCAGACCCGGCAGTTTCTCGCTTCGAAACCAATCTGGGGAGGATCACCGTTTTGTGCGCCCGTTAATCAAGTTTCAAAACGTCCTGCTTGCAGCGATCGACTGTACGCTCGTTGGAGGAGAAGTACGACAAAATGGAGCAAGAGGCGGTCAAGGTGAAGGAGAACCTGCAGGTGAGCGGTTGGTGATGGCAGGCAGACCGCAAAACCACGAAATGGCTGGGGGACAACCAAGAATCGCAGCGCTGCCGTTCAGATTGTGACGTCGAAAGATTGACGAGTCAAGATCTTTCGTTTGCATTCGGAGAGGCACGGTTTGTCTGAACCCTAGTATCGGATCCGGTCCTGCCAAACTTTGCGAGCCCCTGGCTAAGCTTTGCAGACTGGAGTCCTGGTTTTGACACCGGACCGTAGCGTTGCGGTTCCAACCATTGTAAAGTGGTCCGCCTGATGGAAGCGCCTTTCGTACGGTCTAGATGAGGACAGTTTTTTCTTAGAATAGAGGGGTCAACAAGCTGAAATGAGTGTTGGCTATTGAAGCCACTCGATAAAAGACGGCGTATCTGTCTACTGTACGGGCCGATAGAGTCTCCCTAATCAAACAGCACAGTGGTCGGGAACTCGAGATTTGTCTCATTTGCCTCCGCACATGTTCTGGCTGTGCAGGCAAGGATCACGCTCCTCGAGGGCCGGATCCGTTTCCTCGAAGCTGCACAAGACAAAAAAGTACCCTTATTCCCCCTATCCCGAAGAGCGCCTTTCGTCCACTTGGAGGTCTTGCGTTTTGCCTCTGAAAGAGACGAATTTCCGTCGGAACCTTCCAACATCAAAAGCCTTTGCTTGTTGGCGATCCGTTTGCTGTGCTCTTCCGCCATCTGCTTCTTTGGAAGCAATGAGCAGGAAGGCTCAAGTCATATCCGAAATGACGCAATCTCGATGAGCGCCTTAACAAACGTTGCTTTGCTTTGACATTTGCATCTCAAAAGGTCTGAAGCGGGCATGTGGTGTTTTGCAGGGCAAAGGAGCGTTAACAGCCGCCTCGCCGCAAAGAGCAGGCCCGTCAACTGCAAGCACGTCGTACACAGGTATGCCCAAGACGGCCGTCTTTACGGTCATTCTGAGGTCGAGCCTGCTTAGGACTGTCCAAACTGGTTGTCGCGTTGCGAGGCCGTCCTTTTCTTGGTTCTTGGCCACTTCGCCTTCTTAAATCAGCTCGTGGATCGCCCCACTTCGTCGGGAAAGAAATGGGTGGACGTCTCAGACGGCGAGGCGTCTAGAGTCTGGTGCGTTTCAATACAACTCTGAGCCAAAGTGTCAAAATGCGATTCACGGCTTTCTACAGCGGTTGCGACCCGCCTCCCAGACCCTTTCCGGTTCAAGTTGGTGTCCACCGTCGTTCCTGGTCGACCTTATGCACCTCAAAGAACCCAAGAGAACAGAAAGAAGGTTTCCTTCGTGAATGCAATCGCAGCTTTTTGCGTGAAGCTTGCAACCCTTGCACGAGTTTGACATCTGCCTCACATGATCTTGGACCGTCCGATCATGTTTAAAGAGGCGATCGAACGCTCCAAGATCATGTAAACGACAATCCCGCGGGCCTCCGATGGTGCAACTTTCACGTAAACAGCTGAAGTGCAGCATATGTACCGCTGCGGGCCTCCCCCGTTCTCCTTCCGCCCTTGATCCTGACGCACTCTACTGCTCTTGAACTCGCAGGACGTAATCAAACTCGTAATCCTGACCTAATCCTGACGCCCTCTACTGCGCTGAAAATTGTAGGACGGTTCTTAGGCGCCAGCCCCGTCCGCCAGACGTCCCTGCCGAAGCGAGCCACGTCTCAGGGGCAGCCAGCTGCAGTGATCCCACAGAGGAGCATACGTGACGTCACCAACACGGAGAGTGAGTCTGCCTAAAAATCAAGATTTCATTTTGCTTTGAGAGCGGCTTTCAATCAGTCACATCACCAGGGCCGTGCTAGTAAACTGCCTCAAAGATAAGTTACACCCACTTCTCAGTTCCACGCAATGTCGCTCCGACGGGAAGTTCGGCGCTTCGTAGCACCTGAGAGCTTAAAGCGGATCAATATCCAGGAAGCCGCGCGTCAGTCAAGTGGTTAGATATATGTACGATGTGAACGTTGGGCCCTGCCGCTTTTATCGAAGTGTCGACATTCTTTTATCACGTTGTGTTGGCTGCATTGTAGTCGAAAGAGACCTCAGTACGTCGCTCGTAATCCGAACCGCTCTCTGCGATTCTTTCTGAAAGTTGCCTTCTTGGTGCAGGTGTTCCTCCAGCGCAAGTGCACGGCCCGAAGACAGTAGAAACGTCGCCAATAAAGGTACATTCCGAACCGTCTCCGGAGTGTTGTACTCTTTGCAGTCATACTGTTTTCTTCCCTTCACAATGATATCGGAGTGGGTCGTCTGAGGCTTGATTGCCACTGTTTTCAGGTCCTACGTGTGAGCAGTCGATTGCTGCTTGCAACTGGAGGCGATATCTCGAGATGCTTTCGTTGTAACCGGATCGGCATTGGACCTTTTGCAGGCAAATCGCGGCACAAAAGACTTCATTGAGAAGATGAGAGCACGCTTTGAAGCTACGCAGAAGGTAAGCCAAAATGGCCTCTCGTGAGTCTTCTTGCATCTGGAGTTATCCTCGGGCAACTTAGTTTCACGTGGATTTTATGCTCTTGACCCTTTCACAACCCTTACCCTCGCTAATTGAGCGTATCCACTTCTTTTGTGATGCAGTTACTGCAAGAAAGCGATGGGTTGGCTGCTTGACGCGCTTCATTCATTTGTGTTGGTTCTTGATTAGCAATTGATTTGCATATCGGGAGCGCTTCCTCGCTGACTCACTTGCGAACCTTGGCCCTTAAACGATTGCATGGTTATGAACGGAAGTGTACCGAGTTATGGAAGCCTTTCCTTTGTGTCGAAGCTTCTCGGCTTAAGTGCTCGAGGTTTGAGAGTCTCCAATGAAGGTACACCGAGAAGAGAGGTTTGGCTTACCTTTAAACGAACCTCGGCCCTAGCGAAGGATCGAAATGCTGCATGTCCGATAGGTCACCTTCCAATGCTCTGCTCAAGGCACTCGTCAGTTTCGCACTGCATGCAAAACTTTGTCTTTGACCTCTTCCGTCGTTGGCCAAACTTAAGCATATGAGCAGACTAGCCGGCATGTTGTTGACCGTTTCAGTGTCGTGCCAGTCCATCAAATGCATAAGGGTCAACATATAGTATGTGGATTCAGTTACCGTACACGTGCAAAGCACATGGTAGCTTGCATCGATGAGCTCCTATATTTAAATAGCATCGAAGCTGCAATAAGGTACCCGATCACTGCAGCTTACCGTACACATACATTTGATATTGCCGCACGATTCGATCGGCAGCGCCCGCGGCCGCCTGGACATGATTATATGTGTGACACATATATATCAAGCCAGTGCATGATCCAATCCGTTTTTAATTTGCATTAATTTCCATGCACAAGCTACCTACGGTGGGTTCCGGCCGAGTCGACTCCGACTCGAACCGCAACGAAATTGTGGGACCCGGTATCAAATTCTGTCAGTGATACCGGCGGTTCACGTTACGCTGAGTCGGACTTCCGAAACATGTACGGTTCGAGTACTCAGGAATTTTTGCTCGGCCGTAAGTGAGTGTCATGAAGTTGTAAACAAGTGTATTATTTTACACTTTGACGGGAGCATGAAAATGCCACACTAAGATGCGGCTTATGCAACATGCAGAAACCTTTGACAAGCTAAAAAAAATGTTGGGGGACCGTCATTAGCTGTCCTTTGAAGCTCCAACATCATGTTTTGTTCAGGACAAATCTCAAATAGCAGCATAGGAGGCGCAAAGTTGGCCGCCATTGTTGGATTTTGAAGAGCGCCTTCTCTTACACTCCTATATCAAATCTCTGCACTCTTCTTTCAGTCTGGGTACCGCGGTACTCGTGCACGGTACAAGTCGGAAGTTCCGACCAAGACCATGAAATTTAAATTTGTCGGCCGCGCAGACTCGAGTCTCGCGCGACGGTACCGTACCTCCGGGTAGTACGTAATTGCCCGTTTGATCGACGTGTCAGGAAAAGCTCGATTCATGAATTCGGACCCGATTCTCTAGTACGGCCGAGTACGATCGTTAGTACTGCGTACAAAATGTGTCGCGACGCGTGACACCGGTCATACAAATTTGAGACCCGACCGTCGCGCGGTCGATACCGTCGAGACCCACCATAGGTAGCTTGTGTGGTTACTTCGATCGACGTGGTACGTCCGGCTCTCACCTGCATGCTCACATGTGCGCAAGAGCCGGGCTCTTTCACTCGATTATGCATCCTCATGTATAAACGCATTCACATTCAGAGAACATTGATTTATAACCGCGAAATATAAGGTAAGGCATCACGTGCACATGAATTTGATATGCGCCCTAAAGTTTCCACTAGAGAACACTTTAGATATCGGAACTCTTATCATCGAGGTACGAATCAAGGGTTCAAGTTTCTTCACGACCCGCTGATCTCTCTGGCTTGCTGGTTTCTGGACTGAATCCTTGACTCTCTAGATCATTTGATGTGTTTCTCTACATCGTCATCCTGCTTAGTTGACAGACCGCTTTATGCCCTTGACGCCAGTGGGCGGCTTGACACCGTTCGCCGCAATAACTTACGCCTTTGCACTGCCCACAGCGCTTGTATTCCCCTTTTACGATTTCTACTGCGGTACATTGCTGAAGAGAAGCAAACATTGGAAGAGGGATGGTGAACTTTCATCGATCTAGACTGATAGTCTATGTCGAGATGTCCCATAGGTGTCAGTTCAAAAGTGAAACCCAAGGTCTACATTCGAACTTCGATATTCTGAGTTTAAAACTTGCTCCTTAAGGCAACTTGATATCAAGCAACGCCTCACTTGAAAGGAAGACTCGCCGTCTGCTAATGGACAGCAAGTGGGGGAGCTCCTTCGGTGCGCTCTTTGAAGATGAGTAAATCGCGAGGAGCCGCTTCAAGAGCTGCTTGCCAAGGACTATAGAACCAACAAGCCGGCGACAGAAGGCCTGCAATATTCGGGATCTTCACGCAATCATGCAAGCGACCGCGAAGATGATTTGTCCACATCTTGACTGAATATGGGTATGAGAGAAACTCCTTAAGATTGGTTTGTCTGGATCAAAGCCGGGTAGCCCTCGAAGTTCGACTTGCGACCTACCTCGGCGTGTCGATCTCGAGCCTTCTGAATGACTTGCGAGAAGCGACGTTTGACTTGCAGGGCACGAGTCGCTCATCGGACTGCCGCACTTTTTGAGTCCCCCGTCGGCTGCCGCTTTCATCCACAGGCGCTCCGCGCAGTCCAGCGCCTCCCCCAAGGCCCCGCTTCCGTCCGGCCCCAGGTATTCCGCCCCAAGCGACCGGAACAGCGTCGCTGCCCGAGCACCTTCTTCAGCAGGACGAGGCCGTCCGCGGCGCACAGCTCGCGCCAGCGAGCGTGCGCGCGCTCTGCTGACGTGTAACCCGTCAGATCTCCGAGCGTCGCCAGCAGCCGGGTCAAGCGCTCCAGGCAAGAGGCGACGTCCCGGTTGCAAACGGGGGGATCCCTCGTAGATACGGTGGCGGCCCGGTGCAACTTGGCTGAGTGTAGTGTCACCGCTCCTGTGGCGGCGAAATGAGCCTCGCCGAGCAGAATCGCCACGCCATCCTCGCACGTGCCGAATCTCTGTCGTCCCGGCTCGTGACGTCCTGCCACCTGGAAGATTCTGGCGAGCAGCGCCTCGTGCTTGGGCGTCCGCTTCTGGCGCCATCTGGGTCGCCGCTCTCGTACTGCCCACTCCAAGATTCCCCGGTCTAGCACGGCGACCTCCAGGGACGACATCAACCGAGGCGCCTCGGGCCCGCGAGGCTCCTGCGTGGGTGACGTCAGCATCGCCGTCATGTACTCGTCAGCGGCGGACCAGAGCAGCTTGTTCACTTCGAACGGCGCGGAAGCCGCGAGGGTTTCCAGCACTCGGAACAGGGCGAACCCGAACTCGAGGTAAAGGCCGTCGGTCACCGCAAACGCTTGACCGCCCAGGTTGCGTTCAAAACGTCACGCAGAGCGTCGCATGACATCAGCAGCGCCTGGAGACACAAGCGGTCGACTCTGGGGTACACCCACGCCATCAACCGAGACCCCATGTCGACCGCCCACCGTTCCTGCTCCGCTGTTCCGCTCCGGGGTGCCCACGTCACCGGCTGACGGAACGCCATGTGGAGAACAAGCAGAAAGCTGCCCAGCGCCCCGGGCTCCTGCCAAAGCCCCGAGCACTTCCCGCCCTCCAGCAGTGCTAACAAGCTCTCGGCCCATGCCCTCGGGGTAACCTCTGACGAGGTTAAATGGGCCCCCCGCGACGGCAACGCGACGAAGAAGCCGGTCAACCTGGGCAGCAACTCGCGCATTACGTCTTCGTCTCCCGACTCTAGTTCCCGCACGATACGGGACCAGTCCAACTCCGCCGCGCTCTGCTTGTCTTTCTGACCGATGCCCATGATGTCACCGTTTACTCCGATGATCCCCGAGGGATCCCTCGTGTCGACCAGCTGCTGAGCTGGCATGCGCCCATTCGCTCCCTCCTCCGCTTCAGAAGCCTCCCCACCGCCTAGTGAGTGGATCCGGAGGCGCGCGTTGACGGGCCACCGCGGCACCGCCGCAGCCCGGCGGAGCGCCTCTGCTTGCGCCACGCACGTGAGGAACGCCCCAGCCTCGCTGACGTCACGGCTCACGTCGGCGACCAGCCTCTCCGCGAGAGCGCGCGCGGGCGCCAGCTTGTCGAGCAGCCGGTTCGCCAGCGAAGCGGTACCCAGGAACGATCCTAGCAGCGAAAATTCGTGCCCCACGAACGCGTCAAGCGGGGCCCGTGCTTTAGCGTTGCCGTCCGCAGCTGTGGCAGCCCATCGGACCATGCCCTGTATCCAGCCAAAGACGTCATTGTCGAAACACCACCCGATCGCCGTGACTTTCTCCTTCCGTTCCGCCGCAAAGGAGATGCACGCGAAGTCCGCGGCCGCCAGGAGGATCACGGAGAGGTCGTTCGCCGCCTCGGGCTTCAGCCGGACTTGCTTGCGCCAGGGCAGGTGCGCTCGGAGTCGAGAAAA